ACAAAGAAACTACAGGTACAGCACAAGTATAGCACATGTATAGTACAGGTACAGTACAGGTACAACACAAGTACAACACAGGTACAGCACAGGTACAGCACAGGTACAGTACAAAAAACTACAGGTACAGCACAGGTACAACACAGGTATAGCACAGGTACAGCACAAAGAAACTACAGGTACAGCTCAAGTATAGCACATGTACAGTAAAGGTACAGCACAGGTACAACACAGGTACAACACAGGTACAACACAGGTACAACACATGTACAGCATAGGTACAGTACAAAGAAACTACAGGTACAGCACAAGTATAGCACATGTATAGTACAGGTACAGCACAGGTACAGCACAGGTACAGCACAGGTACAGCACAGGTACAGCACAGGTACAGCACAGGTACAGCACAGGTACAGCACAGGTACAACACATGTACAGCACATGTACAGCACAGGTACAACACATGTACAGCACATGTACAGCACAGGTACAACACAGGTACAACACAAGTACAACACAGGTACAACACAGGTACAGTACAGGTACAACACAGGTACAGTACAGGTACAGCAAAGGTACAGTACAGGTATAGCACATGTACAACACAGGTAAAACAGAGGTATATATAGCACATGCACAGCAAAAGTACAGTAAAACAAAATTACAGCAAAGGTACAACGCCGATGCAGCCCAGGTACAGAACAGGTATAATACAGGTATAATACAGGCATAGAACAGGTACAGCAAAGGTACGGCACATGCATAGTGCAGGTATATCACATGTATAACACAGGTATAGCATAGGTACAACACAGGTATACCACAAGTAGGGTACAGCACAAATACAGCACAAGTACACAGATACACCGCACATATTTGTGCTAATGCGATGGATTTGTGCTGTATTTGTTCTGTATCTGTTGAGTCAATCATTTAATGATATCGCGCACATCCATGTACATAATCAGGGGTGAATAATGACAAACAATAATGATAATCAAGTCAACGATAATGATACCGCGCAATTAAGCATATATCTCCGTTGTTTAATTCGACGAACTATTGTTTACACTTTTTTTTGCAAGCGTTGAGAATACATCTGAGTCAGTCGACGGTTGACTCGCTAAACAAACATGGCGGTTTCTACGTAGAGAAGAGAGGCGAGATAATCATGAAGGTGAGTATCTTTTATAACGCGGCAGACGCAGTCAGGCTGAACAATGATGAGCTGGCGACAGAAGCTCCGCTATCACATCACATTATCGCTATACAAGTAGCACGAATTAACCTTTGTCCGCGGAACGAATATGGGATAGAACGGGCACCGTTTTTTGGACGACTTGCTGTCTGTTTATTTCGTTAGTTATTTGTTCGATTAGTTATTCGTTAGGTTTCTCATCCATGTTCGGGCAGGTAAAGGAGATTGAACGGTCGTGGATCGTCCAAACATACCTAACGATGAATCATTGGCGATCAGATTCAGAAGAAAGTTGACCGGATCGCAGTTGTACCTTGTTTAAACGTGGACTAACTGACATCCTAATTGTTTTTCGACAGGGGAAAGGGTGGATGACAACATATTGGCTAAACGGGAAGGAAGGTTTCAGAAAGTAATGCAGAATTGTCCGGCTGTATTTCCCGAAGAGCCCAGGAGTATGGCAGCGTGCATTGCCAACTGACGACAGTAAACGTGAATATGTGAATGATATCGTCCCACATTAGTCCTTTTTGGAAATAGTGTTTGCGGTAATGATAACTAACATTGCAGGTCGTCGTCTGGTTATAAATTGTTTTTAGCTTTTTAACGTTTTAATGTCAAATGTTTAGTGAATGTTCGAACTAACGTAAACTTTATGTAAAGGTAATGCGTATATTATAGTAACTAGAACTTTTAGTAAACTTATTAATTTAGTAATTTGAAATATCAATCAAGCATAGATAAAACGCAGGACTAAAAATAACCGCAAGAAAAATAAAGCGAAGATACCGCTCAGCATCGAATATAAAAGAGCGCATGCCCGGATTGTACGACTTATTGTTGGTGCGCCTCGGGAATGCTGCTGAAAATACTTGAAAAATAAGAAAATCCAATATAGTTTTCTGCGTAGCTTGAGCATGCTGCTACTGTTGGTATAGTCGACGCGCGCACGGACTCTCGGTCGGACCATGAACCTAATGACATGAGGTGAGCTAAAACGATAAGTTAATTACCACGTAATCTGATCAGTTTAACAGTGGGTGCATTCAGCCGCACCCTGCGAAATCTCTACAATAGCTCTGCCCTTTCATCTAATAATATTTTACATAATACATTTACCTATACATTACATATACATTTACCTAGACATTTTCTAACGGCAAAATGGCACTCCACATCATGACCCAATGATTTCTCCCATAGGAATCTGTAAAAATTAGTAAAAAAAACTTGAGCCCAGATCTCGATAGGTGTGTGTACATGGTTCGTTCAATCATTCGCTTGGTAACTTTTCAGGCACACGTGCTATTTAGGTTAAACAATTCCTTTTACGGGAACCTAACGATGAAGTAGCTAGCAGCCAAAATATAAAGGCCTTCATGATGAATCTAATAGAAGCCAGCCAGATTTGGGATGTTGGCTAATGTCATGCATACACACACAAGATCAACAGAGACGAGTCCAAAATGCAACGCTGATTTGTGGTTTGAGCTTTGGTATCTATTTTGTCATGGCGCAAATATTCAATTAGCAACTTGCACGACACGGCCGTCGTACATCGGGGAGAATCTGGCACAGTTATTGTCTTCGGGTACCTAATTACCCCTCTGAAATTAATTACATCATTAAAAACGTGGATCACCGCGTGACGGTGAACCGCGTACACAGATGTGGTGCATTAGACAAGTAAGTCTCCAGTATTCATGATTTTAAGTATGCGCTTGTGAAACCTTTGGTATTACGAAGACTCTATTTCCTAACCCATCAGCTGATACAAAGCAGAGCACACCTGTCGCTATATTTCACGCAAAACTTGGCGCAATGTGCACTATACATGTGCATATTTGTAGATTAAGATTGAAACCGATATTAATTGTGTTGTCCACATCGCTCCTTTGCGTATGATTATTTGCGGGTTCAGTAGGATGTTAAAAACGCCTACTCCTTTGTATACTCGTCATTTCACTATCACAACATTTTTAAATACTCATGAAAACAGTGACCATTTCTTTTTCTTTTTAGTATCTCTGGTTGATGGTAAAAATATAAGTTAGAAAGTGTAGCATAATCACACCAGAAGGTAATAATGTGGGTTTCAACAGACGCACATACGCTTACATAACACCTGATATTATCGTACCCCTCTCGTAGATGGCGCCACAAAGTCATAAATGCGTTGATGGCTTCAAAAACACTGGGTTCGCGGTTCTGCTGCGGTTATGTAGGTGTAAGGAAGAAAAGGTTGGAGGAAGAGTGCTAGGGTTAGCGCCACAATCAAGTACATTATATCAGAAGTAGATCATAGGGACTTCATATCATATCTACTTCTGATTATATCAAGGCTAACGTCGTAAGAATTTGGTACTAATCACATTATATTTTATGAATTCGAAATATAATCGACAAATAGAAGATAGGAATAATCTATATTATAGAGGGATCTCTTGCTAAATAGACTCAGAGGAAAATGGAGACCCGTTTTCAGGGCCGTATTCAGATTCGGGGGCTGTGGTAATGGGAAGGTTTCCCTCAGGCCAATGTATAGATGCGTTTACATGGTCGCTAACCAATCGCGATGCCAGAACACAAACCTCTCGTGGGTTTATCAACAGGAACCTGGAACGTTTCAATAATAAAAATGATGGCAAATAAACACGAAATGTATTTTTCTACCAATGTCTCAATGTTAATGGATTCTCCATCGAATAATAATTCCACGTAAATTCCGCTGTGCACAAATAATAGAAATATAGCGTATATTCTTGTTGTTTGCGCAAAGCGGCGTTCAGGCGATGAATTTGTGTGTTGCAGAGGAGCATTTAAACGGCGTTTATAGGGAATTTTTACTAATAATTGGCGAAAGAGAGTAGAGAAACATTAAGACTTTGGCAGTAAATACATTTCGTGTTTATTTATGAACATTTTTATTATTGAAACGTTAAACTAAGTTAGCCACGCCCCTGGTTTTGCCATATAGTATAGAAGAGAGAATAGACGTACATATATTAGGACCTGTTTGCAGAGCATGTGTCATTACGAACATGATCTCGTTATGATCTAGTAATTATACAGTTCCATGTAAAATATTCCCACATATCGTTATATCAGATTACACAGCGTTCTCACAAAAATATATGCGAAATAAATAATGTTATAACGTAATAACAGTAAATGCGACGTAATTTAGTGTAATGTCATCTAGGCAGGGGCGTAGCTAAGTCATTTCTCCTGAGCACACGCGCGGAGAGTGTTCTGGGCAGTTGGCGAGATTGGCCAGCTCGTCATTGGCTATTGACCACGTAATAGTAACATTTACTTTCTATTTCGATCATCCTGTAGTAGAACACAAAATTTCAATTTAA